TTGCTTTCTGTATGATCCAGTGAATGTTGGCAATTTGATCTCTGGTTCCTCTGCCTTTTCTTAAACCAGCTTGAACATCTGGAAGTTTATGGTTCACATATTCCTGAAGCCTGTCTTGGAGGATTTTGAGCATTACTAGCATGCGAGATGAATGCAATTGTGGTTAGTTTGAGCATTCTTTGGGATTGGAATGAAAACTGACCTTTTCCAGTCCTGTGGCCACTGCTGAGTTTTCCAAATTTGTTGGCATATTGAGTGCAGCACTTTAACAGCATCATCTTTTGGGATTTGAAATAGCTCAACTGGAATTTCATCACCTCCACTAGTTTTGTTCATAGTGATGCTTCCTAAGGCCCACTTGACTTCAAATTCCAGGATGTCTGGCTCTAGGTGAGTCTGAGTGATCACAGCATTGTGATTATCTGGGCCATGAAGATCTTTTTTGTACAGTTCTTCTGTGTATTCTTGCCACCTCTTCTTAATATCTTCTGCTTCTGTTAGGTCCATACCATTTCTGCCCTTTATTGAGCCTATCTCTGCATGAAATGTTCCCTTGTATCTCTGATTTTCTTGAAGACATCTCTAGTCTTTCCCATTCTATTGTTTTCCTCTATTTCTTTTCATTGATTGCTGAGGAAGGTTTTTTTATATCTCTTTGCTATTCTTTGGAACTCTGCATTCAAATAGGTATATCTATCCTTTTCTCCTTTGCTTTTCGCTTCTCTTCTTTTCACAGCTACTTCTATACTTCATTTTAATGATGCCTTTTGCAACTTTTTCTTCATATTTTATCTTAGGCCTGTGATATCAGGATTTATAGTGAGAAATATATATTTTTGTCTTTATTTATGCTGTCTGTCACACAGCTTCTGAAACTCCTGGGATTTCCTAATGATAAGTGTGATAAAGCTGAAATGGGTGTCTTTTGTTATTCATAACAAATCCCTTTGAATTGACACCTGAATTTATGTCAATGAGGTTATTTTTGAAAACCCCCTTGATAATCTTAAGATGAAACCAATCATGTGATTTGATGAGAGAGTTGAAACTTTCAATCTCATTCTGACCTCTGAGAAGGAGAGCAGGGCAGGAGATTGAGTTCAGTCACCAATGGCCAAAGATTTGATCATCACACATGCACACAGTAGCTGCAATAAAAATCTAGAATTTCAGGAATTCAGAATGGTTGGTGAATAAATGAGGTGCTAGGAGGGTACTACACCTGGAGCAGGCCTGCAGCCCTTCTCACCCACCTTGCTCTATGCATCTCTTTCATCTGTTCCTGAGTTGAATCCTTCAGCATACACCAGTCATCTAGTTCGTAAACTGTTTTCCTGTGTTCTGTGAGCTGTTCAGCAAGCAGTTGAACCTAAGGAGGGGGTCATGGGGACCTCTGACATATGGTCTTTCAGAAGCACGGGTGACAAACTGGGCTGGAGATTGGCATCGGAAGTGGGGTGGTCTTGTGGGACTCAGCCCTTCACCCGTGGGATCTGACTCTACCTCCAGGTAGATAGTGTTAGAATTGAGTTAAGGTATGGAACGCTGGCTGGTGTCCGCAGAGAATGGCCTGGCATGCAGGAAAACCCATATGGCTGGTGTCAGAAATGAAGTATTAGGAAAAACAGGAGAACAATTTTTTTTTCTTTTTTTAGGCTTCATCAGACTAGAAATGTCTCAGAAACAGATTTCTAAGGAAGTTACTTGCTGTCTGTGTTGTTTTTAATATCCGTATACCACTCAGCACCATGTTAATCATGTGTGTGTGTGTGTGTGTGTGAGTCACTCAGTCGTGTCTGACTCCTTGCAACCTCATGGACGCTAGCCCGCCAGGCCCCTCTGTCCATGGGATTCTCCAGGCAAGAACACTGAAGTGTGTTTCCATTCCCTTCTCCGGGGGATTTTCCCAACTCAGGGATCAAACCCGGGTCTCCCACATTTCAGGCGGACTCTTTACTATCTGAGCCACCAGAGAAGCTTATAGCTATATATGTTAAGCATAAAGTTGATCCTTAAGTTAAATTTGTTTGCTGGCTTTTGTTGAATCTTATTTAAGATAATATTTAGATTGATCTATATGCACTCAGGGAATTAATTCAGGGATTCTCACTGGTATTGCTTTTGAAGCCAGGACAACCAATAATGATAGTAAAATGCAGTCACAGTTTATTAAAATAAATTTGTGGCTTTTATGTAAAACTAAAAGGTGGCTAGAAAAATACCTACAAAGAAAAAGAAATCTGTTTTCCTTGATCAAATGTTGTCAGCACGATGCAAAGAAGATGTCTATTTATGTGATGAAATTTAAGATCTAAAGCTCAAATAGTTTTGTCCAATGAAGAATTGAAGAGAATGTGGCTATTTTGAAAGGCAGTGGTAGTATGTATTGGTATGGCCAAAAAGCTTGTATTTTGGATGTTTTCAATAAAATCTTATGAATGATTAAAACCTGAATGAACTTTTTAGCCAACACCACAGCTTCAGGAAAACCAAGAACACAGTAGGAATCATTATTGAAGAATATCTCAGTTTCCAAAGCATATAATTGTGTATGTTATAGACTATAGACTAATTGTATATGTTATAGACTATAGACTAATTGTATATGTTATAGGACTTCCCTGGTGACTCAGCTGAGAAGGAATCCACCTGCAATGCAGGAGACACAGGTTCCATCCAGGAGAACACAGTAGGAATCATTATTGAAGAATATTTCAGTTTCCAAAGCATATAATTGTGTATGTTATAGACTATAGACTAATTGTATATGTTATAGGACTTCCCTGGTGACTCAGCTGAGAAGGAATCCACCTGCAATGCAGGAGACACAGGTTCCATCCTTGGGTCAGGAAGACCCCTGGACAAGGAAATGGCAACCCACTCCAGTATTTTTGCCTGGAAAAATCCCATGGCCTGGCAGGCCATGTTCCATGGGGTAGCAAATAGTAGGATGCTACTGAACTCTAGCACGTGTGCTCGCACACAAACACATACACACAGAGACACAGACTGTTATCCATTTTCCAGATTATTGGAGCCAACTGAATGTTCTAAAGAGTAGTTTAAATCTTGAGGAAATATTTCAACATACATTTTTTGCATACATGTATTGTGGACTGCAAGAAGATTCAACCAGTCCATCCTAAAGGAGATCAGTCCTGGGTGTTCATTGGAAAGACTGATGTTGAAGCTGCAACTCCAATACTTTGGCCACCTGATGTGAAGAGCTGACTCATTGGAAAGGACCCTGATGCTGGGAAGGATTGGGGGCAGGAGGAGAAGGGAACGACAGAGGATGAGATGGCTGGATGGCATCACCGACTTGATGGACATGGGTTTGGGTACACTCTGGGAGTTGGTGATGGACAGGGAGGCCTGGTGTGTTGCGATTCATGGGGTCGCAAAGAGTCGGACATGACTGAGCAACTGAACTGAACTGATTTGTGTAATTAAACCAGAGCCTTCTGTTTCAAAGCTACTATATACTCTTTATTGAAAGTATCTCTTTACTTGCTTCATAATAATTTTATCTTTTAAAAGTTGTTGTAAAAGATACATTTAAAAGAGATAAAACTCCTGATTTAATATAGAAACAAATTCAAAATATCAGTTAAGAATGCAACAGATTAGCCATGTAATATAGTGCTTATGTTGTATCATGTTATGACTTAAAATGTTCAGTGTTCTTCCTAAATTTTTTATTTCAATGTTTAAGAGATTATTTTAAAAATATAAAAGAGAATATCATGTGGAATATAGCTTTCCAAAAACTCAAGTTATTTAAGATAGGGACAGCTAGAATGTGTATATGAAATTAAAGCAGCTCATGGAGAAGGAAATGGCCACTCACTCCAGTGTTCTGATTTGGGAGATCCCATGGACAGTGGAGCCTGGTGGGCTAAGGGCATGAGGTCACAAAGTCAGACACAATTTGGAAACTAAACAACAACAACAAAACGTGTTTTAAGTAGCTTACACGTGTATTTCTCATTTATTTTACATATTCTAAAATATAATGGTCTCTTGCTTTAAATCTTCCTTACTTTAAATTATAACTTTATATTGATATTTTTCCTGTTATTAGATTGCACACTCTTTTTGAATGTAGCATCTATTGCTTTCCTTACTTCTGGCTTCCCCATATTACTTTGTTTTATGCTTATTATGCAGTAAATGTTTTATAAATGTTTGCTGAGGAATGATGGCCATGCCCAAAGAAATTCCATTTTTTCTCTGCCAAAAAAATAGACAATGTGAAATTTCAACATAAAAAGAATTGTGGCAAATAATTCTTGACAAAATCTTCTATTAATAAGACAAATGAAATAAATATGTTCACATATAGTTATGCTAATAAAATGTAGAAGTCCCTGACCTCTGCACAGTGTATTCAGTTGTTCTTTTTGCCGAATTCAATGTTGAAAATTTTTTTCAGATTTCTGATGATGGCATGGGTAGTCATGTAGAGAAAATTTTTAAAAAGCAAGAAATAAGGTTGGAGGGTATTTAAAAAAATGCATACTGCATAGTTTAAATGTAAAATGACAGAACTCATAATTGTTTACTGGATACCACAGTGTATGTCAGAGTGTTTCATTCTTTTAATGTGTATGCATTTCCATATATGAAAGAACCCATGGAAACTTTGTCTTAGCTCACATTTAAAATTGGTCCTGTGTTTCAAATAAAGAAAGTATGGACGCTTTCTTTGGTTTGTTTATGGTTTGGAGAGTATAAAATACCTCCATTGCAAACACAGTTTAAGTTTATATTAGCACGTAGAGTACATGATGTTTTTCAGAGTATTTCCCCTCATTTTCAAATGTCTCTTTTTTTTTTGCCAGGCATTTCCTGGGAACGTCAACTCCGATAGTGTTGTCCGGCACGATTTACAGCATCCAGTCATTGCCCGCTATGTCCGCTTCGTGCCTCTGGATTGGAATGGAGAAGGCCGCATTGGGCTCAGGATCGAGGTCTATGGCTGTTCTCACTGTAAGTAACGTGCTGTGGAAATTGGTGGATTTTTGCCATCTTCATTTAATTAGTAATTTCATTATTTTGAATTATTTTAGTTGCTTTCTCTGACAGTGAATTGCCATGTATCTTTACATAAAAAGCATATAAAGTTGGTCATATGTTTTAAATATATATTTACATTTTACACAAACACATGCGTAAGAATTCACTAAGAATACCTTTAGTAGAGGATTTGGGAAATGATTATTGTTAAGTGTACTAACACAGCAAAGCTTATTAATTAAAATGCTTGAAAAATAATGAATATTTTTCAAGTTTTTAAAGAGGTTATCCTTACTGGTAGTCTGTATACCGTCTTTTTTGAAGGAATTGCTGAGAACCATGCCTGTACTTCTGTTGAATTGTCTTTTGTTTGTCTAATTGAGTAATATTTAAAACCAACTCTGCCTTTCTTTTTCTTCCTCATTATGCTATATAGACATGCATCTTACTTTTGAGATGGCTTTCTTTGAAAATATCCATTTTAAAACCAACACCATCAATGAAGGTACTTTCGAATCCATAGTAAAGGGCAAAAGCAGTGTGCCAAAGGTCATATTGTCCATTGACTTGAATGCAGTTTAAAATATGACAGTGTGTTCTGTAATTGTTTCAAGTAGCTTTGTAAAATGTTGAGCTAGTGCTACCATGAGGTTTTCCATCAAGCCTGGTCCTTGGCAATCACAAGATGAGAAGGAAACATGCGTGAAGCTAAATAGGAAGCTTGACTTTCCTAGTATATAAACCTCACTGGAGGAAAAAGTCCTACACTTCTGGAAACCAGATTAATATTTATGCCAATAGATGTCAGTGGAGGAAATGATAAATTGACCACATAAAGTAAGATAAAACTTTATACCAAGTTTTAAATGTTCTAAATCCTCTCCAAACACAGCCACTTGTGGTTATCGAGCACTTGAAATGTAGCTAAGACAATTGAGAACTAAGCTTTATTTAATTTCCACTGATTTGAATATGAAATTAAGTAGCGTGACCATTGGCTACAATATTAGATGGTACAGATCATAAGAACCAAAACAACTGCTTCTTATTTTCCTCCTGTGTGCTTTTATAATCTAAGCAGCCTATAATATTTATTTCTAATGGCAATCTCTAATTTTTTTCCTAGTTTGGAAAATGATACTTTAATCGTCATAGGAACTGTCTCTACTATCAAAACTTTGATGACTAGCCATTCCTCTATTTCTGTTGCTGCATAGTTACTCACTCAGTCATGTCCTACATTTTTGCAACCCCATGATGGACTGCAGCCCTCCAGGCGCCTCTGTTCATGGGATTTCAAGGAAAGAAAACTGGAGTGGGTTGCCATTTCCTTCTCCAAGTTATTTGTCTAACCAGGTCATTTTTCTAACTAATATCCAGATCCCATTATTTCTCATACATCTATGTATGAGGAGTGTAAAATATACTTGTCTTTTCCAAGAAAAAAATACATGTCTGTAATATGATGTGTTAAACATATTTATTATGGGAAATGTTTCCAAGATTACTGTGTTGTAAATTTACCTGTATTGGAATTCAGACTAGAGTGGCCCCTTAGATTGCTTTCTATTTTATTGTATTTTTTTCATTTATTGGACCATTGATTTGTCGCAAGGGCATTGTTTAAGATTTCAGTGATAAGGGAATTATGGATCTTTGAGAGGGGAAATTTCAATCAGAAACACTCATATTTTGCCCCCTTGAAAATAGTAGTCCTGCCAGGGTCCAACAAGGAGAAACTAGGCTTGCATCACTTCCATGGAAAATAAATGATTTTTCTCATCTTCTGAGAAACCCCTTAGGGGATTTGTCTGAGATCTGCCTTATACCTGCAGGTTAGGTAATGGGGTTGTTCTTCTTTTCCTCTTCCTTCAAAGTTTGCCAGAAGAACTAGAGAAGAAAAAACATCAATAGATTGCTGCTTCTGTGGGAGTGTATACCCACTGTAATTCCCCTTGTTCTGTCACTTTCTTCTCTGAAGCCTTTCCACAATCACTCTGTCATCTGAAAAATTAGGCACTTTTCAAGGTTGAAAGCAAGACGTTCACTCTATTCCAGGTGAAGGAAGTTTAGTTACAGGCCACTGCTTTTAAGCCTCTAGGACCTCTGCTGTTTTTGTTTTCCTGACTTGTCTTAATGATAATATATATTCCAGCTTCAATGAATTTAGACTCATTTTAAATCATTCTGCTCCCTCAACATTTGGTTTCCCCTCAAATTTAGTTGAAACAAGTGCATGCTGTTATTTAAAAAACTTAATGATATTCCTCATGTCTTCTGACTCAGTAAGCTTGCTCCCCAAACACTGATGCTAATCTTCTTACTCTGTTCCGAAGGGATTGCATGAAGCAGAAGGGAGAGGCTCTCAGTCTAATAACTTTTAAAAATCATTTACGGCTGAAACACGCAAACATTCATCTTACAAAAGCCCTGCATGGTGTATTGATTAAAGTAGTGAGTGTTTTTTTATAGCAAATACTGAATTAGCTTTTAACCAGAGTCTCCGTAAAAGTAAGGTAGCACCTTGGCAAATCAGGGGCACACAAACCAAAGTAATTTTTATATATGCATTCAGTTTGGATGAATAACTAATCAAGCCTGTAAATATTTCCCAGTGCAAATCCAGGTGGAAAATAAGTGCCAGACATATGAGGCAGGCATATGAGAAGATGCCAAATACAAGTAGTAGGAGGACAGTGCTTTGTTCTATTCATGCTGTGCTAATGGGAATATCCTCTTCTAGGGCCCACAGTCTATTCCCCTAGCGCCTTTGCAGCCTAGATAGGAGATGCCGCCGTGTGTGTGTATTAGGTTCCAAGGGCTGTTATAAAATAATACTATAAACTGTGTAGCTTAGGACAACAGAAATTTACTCTCTTATGGTTCTGGAGACATGTCTGAAATTAAGGTGTTAGCATAGTTGTTTCTATCTGGAGACTCAGCGGGAGTAACTGACCCATACCTCTCCTCTAGCACCTGATGGTGGTGGTGTTTAGTCACTCAGTCATGCCCAACTCTTTGCGACCCCATGGTCTGCTGCACACCAGGCTTCCATGTCTATCACCAATTCCCAGAGCTTACTCAAACTCATGCCCATTGAGTCTGTGATGCCATCCAACCATCTCATCCTCTGTCGTCCCTTTCTTCTTCTGCCTTCAATCTTTCCCAGAATCAGAGTCTTTTCTGATGAGTTGGCTCTTTGCATCAGGTGGCCAAAGTATCGGAGCTTCAGCTTAAGCATCAGTCTTTCTCGCATCTGGTGGTTATCAGCAGTTCTTGGTGTTCTGTGACCTGTTGCTGCTTCATTCCAATGCCTGCCTCTGCCTTCACGTGGTTGTCTTGCCTCTGTGTGTCTGTCTTTGTACCTTCACACGGGTATCTTCTCTCTGTGTGTTTACGTCTCCGTATATTTACATGGCTGTCTTGCCTCTGTGTGTCTGTCTCTACCTTCACATGACCGTCTTCCCTCTGTATTTCTATCTCTGTGTCTTCACTTGACTGTCTTACAAGTTCATGAGTCTTTGGAGTCACCCTTGCCCAGTATGACCTCATCCTGAAGGAACTGATTACCTCTGTAAAGACCCTATTTCCAAGTAAGGTCACATTTTGACTTTCTTGGTGGTTATGTGTTTGGGAGAAATGTAATTCAACCCAGTGCAGTATTTATTCATTAAGATAAGTAAGAATTTCCATGAAGATCTTCACAAAGGGCGGAGAAATAAGAAATACTTCTGAATGTCAACCATGTTTTCCTGTTTACGTTAGATGTTTCATTTTGCATAATACTTGTATTATTGTGTTCTGTGTTCATCACACACATATACATACACACACATACACTCATGAAGTTTAAATTTTGGGAATCAATGTATCATCACACAGATTCATCTGTCTCGTTAGCATTTATTGAATTCTGTTTGTAAAGCATTCTACTAATTTAAAATCTAAAATGCAAATTAGACCATATCACACCTCTGCTTAAAGCGCTTCACAGCCTACCTATAAAGTCTTAAGCTGTTAGCTTGAAACATAGTGCTCTTCTTATTACCTCTGCTGTTACATCCTATCATTTCCATGTTGTACTCTATGCTCCACTGTACAAAATATCCTTTTTTCTGAGTATATGACCTGCTTCTGTAACTTGTATTCACTCAAGGTATCCTCCCTCTCCATCATTCTCCTAATCAATTTGTCTTATCCTTCAAGATTCAGTTGAGATGTGATTTCTAACAAGAAGATTTCTCTGAATTTCCATAATGAACCACATCATTTTTTTATATAGTCTATTATACTATGTATTCAGTTCAGTTCAGTCTCTCAGTCATGTCCAATTCTTTGTGAACCCGTGAATCGCCACACACCAGGCCTCCCTGTCCATCCCCAGCTCCCGGAGTTCACTCAAACTTATGCCCAGAATGAAGCAGGGCAAAGGCTAATAGAGTTTTGCCAAGAGAACGCACTGGTCATAGCAAACACCCTCTTCCAACAACGCAAGAGAAGACTCTACATATGGACGTCACCAGATGGTCAACACCGAAATCAGACTGATTATACTCTTTGCAGCCAAAGATGGAGAAGCTCTATACAGTCAGCATAAACAAGACTAGGAGCTGACTGTGGCTCAGATCATGAACTCCTTATTTCAAAATTCAGACTTAAACTGAAAAAAGTAGGGATAACCACTAGACCATTCGGGTATGACCTAAATCAAATCCCTTATGACTATACAGTGGAAGTGAGAAATAGATTTAAGGGACTAGATCTGATAGAGTGCCTGATGACCTATGGACGGAGGTTCGTGACATTGTACAGGAGACAGGGATCAAGACCATCCCCATGGAAAAGAAATGCAAAAAGGCAAAATGGTTGTCTGAGGAGGCCTTACAAATAGCTGTGAAAAGAAGAGAAGCGAAAAGCAAAGGAGAAAAGGAAAGATATTCCCATTTGAATGCAGAGTTCCAGAGAATAGCAAG